ATGGGCTGCTTGCGGCCCAATCAGCACAAGGCTGCAGTTCATGTGGCATCCTCAGGGCCATACAGGTGGTACGTATATAGGGTGGATATGGCCCACATAACACAGAGAGAGCTGAAAATACAGCCCACAATCAGTGGTGCAAGTGGAATTCATTTTTTACTGGTACGGCGGGGCACGTGACCTCCTCATGTACCCCTCCACGTGACTCCTCCCCGACTTGCCCCCAGCCCCCACACTCTCCCTGTCCCCTCCCCATGATTCACCCCCCTTACCTGGGGAGGAGAGGGCTCTGTCCTCCTCCTGCTGCACCGGAGACTTCAGAACTGGAGCGGCGAAAGGAGCAGAACGTGGGTCCGCTGGGTGGCCCTACGCCCACAGCTCCTCCAGCACGGCTGTACCATGGCAGCTGGTTAGGGTGGATTCTCCATCGACAATTTTTAAATCAAGATTGTATGTTTCCTAAACGGTCTTTTCTAGGGATTATTCTGGGGAAGTTCTAGGGCCTGTGCTAGACAGGAGGTCAGACTAGATGAGCCCAGTGGTCCCTTCTAGCCCTTAAAATGTATGAATCTATGAGACGGGATGTGGGGGACAGAGGCAGAAAGGTTTATAACCACTTGAGCACGTGTCTCTGGAATCTGCAATTGAACTCAGGATTCTTCAGACACAACGTTCCTTTGCTGTCAGCAAAAAGCTATTAAACCCACTGGCAAAATCTCTGTCCCTTCCCCTCCAGTGGCTGGTCTACATAGGATAGCAGCCTACTACAGCTATCAGTTACTCCATTAGTTAGAGTGCTAGAGGTCTGTGGTGTGGACCTAAAGGTCCCAACCCTGCTGGTGACCTATGTAGCAGATCAATATGGTTCCATGTGATGGAATTTTTTTTTCCATTTTCTTTTTAAAAAAAAATAGTATTTTTAATATAATGTTCTATATTAAAAGAATGTTTTCCTAACGTTTGAGTGCATTTAATACAGAAATGCCAGAATTAAGGTTGCCCATGCCCATATGTGATTATTTTGCCCCCTCCATCCCAGAAGTTTTGAGAACACACACTTTGTGCACTTGACGTTCCTTCACTTGGACTGAAGCATGCTGAACAGCAGCAAAATATCCACCAAATTTTGCATTGTATCAAAAATGCAAATGCATTTAATGTTTTAATACATGTAGCAGCCATTGTGGGCAGCTCTGGTAGCTTGGTCTCTCTCTCTTTCCCTCTAATGGGTATCAGATTGTGCTAGTGATCTTGGCATTGTTTTAGTAATTGACTGATGCAATGCAGTGTTCACTGATTTAATAAGTTTGTTAGTATAATAGAGGTTCAGGATTTTGTTGTTAATGTGCAGCGACAATTACATTTTAGATTTGCTCATTATGTTGCATAACTTAACGACATAATCCATCATAAATTATACTTTAAAAAGCATTATTTCAAAGCACATTAGCATGACTCTGCTTTTGCCTCTCCAGTGCTTTGCAGGCTGGACTTACTCAAGACAAGGGATGGCTTGTTTGATGGTGTTCCTACAAACCCAAAGCTGAATGTGTCTAGGACCTCTCCCACCCCGTCCAAGGATCCTTGCCCCTGACACATCATGCCACGTTGTCCATGTTGGCAGAGGACTCTGAGGGCACAGGGAGTGTTCCTTTGGATATTATTATGGTGAGATGCTTCTAGTGCTGGTACAGAGAGGAGGCCCTGCACTGTCTGAAACACTTACAAAATGGACCGGACTAACATCTAGTGCAGATATGACTGGGTGCAGCTCTTGTTGAAGTCAAAGGGAAGTTGCATCAACTTATGTCAGAGCTAAATTTGGCTTCTAATGTTGGTATACATTCACTTTTCAGCCAAAAGGACCCTTTCTTTGCGTATCATTTGGCACGCTACCTCCTGACATAGGAAACTTTCTCTGTCTGAAAGATCGGGCTAAGACAGGGAGAGGGGTGAGTTGGTCCCTGAATGTAGAACTATAAGCCCCAGGAACTTCGAAGGTCTAGTCCAACTGTGGACACTTTTGCTTTTGGCAGGTCACTTCACCTCTCTGTGCCTTGGTTTTCCCATCTGTACGCTGTGGATAGTTACCTCCCACGGTAAAGATTCAGGACTGGACTGTGTTGTAAGGCACTGTTCTGTGTTGCGTACAATGCATATCTGGCTGCCATGCCCCAGCAGGAACTCCAGGAGGAAACATCTCTATGATGATTATTCATTTATATTCCCACAATGTGCAAGGTGCTTTCCAAGTACAGTTCACAGTCCTAAATCAGGTTTCAGAGTAGCAGCCGTGTTAGTCTGTATTCGCAAAAAGAAAAGGAGGACTTGTGGCACCTTAGAGACTAACAAATTTATTTGAGCATAAGCTTTCATGAGCTACAGCTCACTTCATTGGATGCAACTAAATCAACAAGCAGCATATGATGGATGAATTAATTTAAAAATAGGAACAAATAGTCCCAGAAACTGTATCCTGCAGCTCTGTTCACAGGGGTCTAGATGAGGATAAATCTAATGCACAAACTTGGGTCCTGATCCTGCATGAGCTCTGAAGGTGCAGGGGTCTGCCTGTGCAGAGCACCTTGCTCAATGGGGGAGTTAGTCTTCCCTGTATGTGCAGTGCTCCCACTCGCAGTAGCTAAATGGGTAAACACATGCACAGCTAGGGAAGATGAGGCAATTTACTACAGCATCTGCACAGGGGGAAGAGCCCTTGATGGATTTTGGAGCCATGGTTGTTTATTACCCTTTGATTTCTGCACCCCCACTTGCTAAGAGGAATTCCTTTCCAAAGTAAGCATATCACTCTTATGTTTGTTTTAAATAATGTAAAACCTATAAAAACCCCTCCTGGGATTGGAGGGGGGACCCTCTAAAGTGACAGACAGGCTGTGACACAAACTAAGAAAAACAAATGTTTTTCCAGATGCTGGTCTGTATCACAATTTTAATGTTGCATAAAGCATGTTTTAGTTAGTTCATGTTTTTCTAGCTGCTTCCCCTTATCCAGCTGTCTCGCTCTCTGCTAATCTCTTCCTTTCTTTTCTCTCCCACTTCTAGTTCCCCTGGCTTGTGCTCCTTGAAATCCACAGATATTTTTAAAAATTTCCTCTGCATCTGTAATTCTCTTTCTCTGAAGCCCAGATGTGCATGTCCTGCAGGACACAAGCCCCGGTTCCATGGCACCAGCTCAGCACAGGCCTCTTTCCCACACTTAAGCAGGGGTTGCCTAGCAATCCCACACCATATCGCTGCAGCAGCTGCTAGCTTCTTCAGCTCCTGCACATGCACCGTCTGATTGGTAAGGTTTCTTCTGCGGGGTGGATATTATTTTGCAATCACATGCATAGATTTCAGTGGGGACCCACCCCGCAGGCTACTACAAGCTGAGCCATTTTCAGACCCTTCCCCAGGCTCCCAGCTTTCTCAGTTCTCCACGCCTGCTGCCTAAAGCAGCTTCAGTCCGAGGGAGCAGAGGGAGAACAAGCCATGTGGGACAGACCAAGAATTCATGTTGGCTGAGCTCTTCCATCATTTAGCTGCATTTGTGAGAAGTGTCATAAGAATGAACAAATCTTCTGCTTCCTTTCTTCACTCAGGAGGGAAATGGTGCTATCACCCAGCACTGACTCCAGGATGTACATTAAATATACATGTTGCTTGTGTAAAATGTGCATTGGGGAGGTGTAAGGTGTGTATTATAGTCCACAGGAGTGTGTTTAGTAGCACTGTGTGTTAGATGTAACCCCATCACCTTCAATGAAGAAACACCAGGAACAAATCTGGCTCTCAATTAAAAATCAGTGCTGGGATTGTGTGTTTGTGCCTAGAATCTTCTTCTCAAGAAAACTGAGGTACTATGTCCCCTCTCATACTGTGTTGTATGGTCTTTGGGCTCAAGCTGGTTATTGTGGTCTGGTGTCCTATAGCTTAGGGACATCCAGTTGAGAACACCTTAGCCTCTAGTTCCTATACCTGGACCTTGATTAGCATAGCACAGCATGGCGTCTCTGACAAGCATAACTCTCCCCCTGGGTTATGGATGGGGTCTCTGAGGAAATCAGTCCAAGAAGAGCAACAGCAAGATCTCAGATTGGAGCAGTGTGAGGAATGAAATGGGATAGGCGGAGAAGGCAGAGACCGCTGTCCTGTATGTCAGAAACATTCAAATCATTGCCTTGGTTCTGGGAAAGTCCTTTTCTTACTATTCTTGTCGTGCCAGAGTGCCTAGGAGCCCTTGGCATGGGCAGGAACCCATCATACCAGGTGCTGCAGAGCACAGCCAGTCCCTGCCCCACACAGGTTACAATCGGAGCAGAAGACAAGAGACAGATGGTGACAGGCGGGACTACAAGGAGTACATCTTAGTCAGCACGATAGGAAACGGTCTTTTCCTGCTTCCTTCTTCGGGGGGGGGGGGGTATGGCCCACACGTGCAGCCACAGGCCAGGGCGACCCCTGCCCAGGAGAAAGGAGGCCCAAGGCTCTGGGCTGCAAGCGCCCGGGCTCCCCGGCCGGCTGCCCGCGGCTGGGGCGCTGGGGGGAGGAAGCCCCCGGCAGCCCCGAAGTTCAGGGGGTGTCAGAGCCCGAGCCGCCTGCCCCCCAGCTCAGCCCGGAGCCCTGCCGGGAAGGAGCCCGTGGGCGGGGACCGGGGCCGGCGGGGTGCGCGGTAAGCGGGGCGGGGTGCGCGGTAAGCGGGGCGCGGCGCCGGGGGGGGTCCGGGGCAGGGGGGCGCGGCGCCGGGGGGGGGCCCGGGGCAGGGGGGTTGTCTCTCTCTCTCTCCCCCCCCGGCCCAGGCGGGGTCCGAGGCTCCGGGCGCCGCCGGCTCCGCTCCCTGCCCGCGCCGGGGCCGGGGGCGGGAGCAGGTGCCGCGGCACGTGTGGCCTGCGCCGCCCCCTGCGCTGCGCTGCGCTCCCCTCCCCGGCGGCCGGGGGCGGGCGGCTCGGGCGCAGCCGCGTGCGCCGGGACCCAGCGCAGCCGGGTGGGCGCAGAGCAGCGCGGAGCCGCCGCCGCCTCCCTCGCCAGGCACCGACCCGCCGCCGCCGCCGCCCGGTGCTGCCCGGGAGATGCCGCTCGGCGCCCGGGGCTCGGCTGCGCTCCGGCCCCCGCCGCAGGGACCCGTGAGCAGGTGAGTGACCCGGGCCGGGGGCTCGGGGGGCGCCGCCGCCGCCGCGCTCGGGGCAGGGAGCAGCGGGGCCTGGGGGGCAGGGCGTGGGGAGGGGGTGCCGGGATGGGGATAGGGCATTGGGGGGCCTGGGAGCCGGGCATAGGGGTAGGAGGGGGTGCCCGGAGGGGGGCAGGGTATGGGGGTGCCGGACATGGGGGTGAGAGGGGATGCTGGGTGGGGGACAGGGTGTGGGAGCAGGAGGGGGTGCCCGGATGGGGGTAGGGTATGGGGGTGAGAGGGGGTGGTGGGTGGGGGACAGGGTATGGGAGTAGGAGGGGGTGCCCGGGTGGGGGACAGGGTATGGGGGTGAGAGGGGGTGGTGGGTGGGGGACAGGGTATGGGAGCAGGAGGGGGTGCCCGGATGGGGGTAGGGTATGGGGGTGCTGGACATGGGGGTGAGAGGGGGTGGTGGGTGGGGGACAGGGTATGGGAGTAGGAGGGGGTGCCCGGATGGGGGCAGGGTATGGGGGTGCCGGACGTGGGGGTGAGAGGGGATGCTGGGTGGGGGACAGGGTATGGGAGTAGGAGGGGGTGCCGGGATGGGGGCAGGGTATGGGGGTGCCAGACATGGGGGTGAGAGGGGGTGGTGGGTGGGGGATAGGGTATGGGAGCAGGAGGGGGTGCCGGGATGGGGGCAGGGTATGGGGGTGCCAGACAGGGTGGGAGGGAGTGCCAGCTGGGGGTCATTGGAGGGGATGCTGGGCAGGGCATGGGGGTGGAGGGGATGCCAGTCACCCTCAGATGAGTGGGAGCAGACTGTGAAGACAGGCGCTGGAAATGGTTCACTGGAGACACTGCGGGGGGAGGCACAGAGATACTCAGGCTCTCCCCCCACTCTGCTGTGCCCCCTAATAATAGTGTACATAGGTGGGTGGTGACCGGGATGCTGAGGTGGGATATAGGGTGCAAGTTTTGCTTCCTCTGCCTTGTTACTGTACCTCTGTTTGCATGTGGGTACCCTGCCTGCTTGTTAGCTAGGGGGCAGGAGAAGAAGGGTCAGCCTGTCCAGCTCCAGAGGTGAATGATGGATGCCTTGGGCAAGTGGAGAGCATGAAGTCTCTTCCCAGGGGTGATGCCTGGCATGCAGTTGTAAATCACAGGGGTGGGGAGAGAGGTGCCAGGTGTGAATTGCTCTGAAAGTGCTGGGGATGCATATGGAGTTAAGGTACCAGTGGTATCCTGTCCACGAGTTTCTGAAATGTGTTCAGGTGAAATACCTGTTAAAAATCCTGCTCCAGGAAACTGTCAGGCCTACCCTGGGCAGTGGAGTTCAGGTGGGACTGGGTCAGAGTAGCTGCAGTGGGGCATAGGGGATTCTGCTTCCTAAGCTGATGAGTGGCTGAACTTTCTGTTCCTAAAGGGTCACTAAGGAAGCTTTTTGTAGGATGGAAGTTACTGTGTTCAGTGGATCCCCTCCTCCCTTCCCCTCTTTTTTCGTTGACATTGGGAGGTTACAGGCTGTAATAGGGGAGTGCAGTGCAAAGCCCTTTTTATTGTTTCTTCTGCAGCCTTCACAGAGAAGTTGGGTTGCTGTGCAGAATAACAATAGAGAGCAAAGCTCCCTCGGTGGCCCTGCAATACTATCCCAGGGTGTACTGCTTCGGACGCCGCCAGCACCAGACCCCCACGGTTATCACACACTTTATTGCACCTCTGCAGGAAGCACACAATGAGTGTTTCCCTTGGAAATCATCCTAAAGGCAGTCTGGAGCAAAGTAGCTTCAGGGGAAATAGGTGATAACTTTAGCAAGCCCAGCTGCAGAGCCAAAGACTAGCTGTGGTGGAAGATTACTGTACTGTGTGAATTTGTATCTTGTCTTTTTCTTTCTTTCTTTCCTTCCCAGATTTGATATGTAGTGTTTGCTGTCTTCCTGGTTTGTAAGATGTAATATCTCTGCATGGGTGGGATGGAGGAGAACGGGTTGAAGAAGATGGTTTAAAAATCTCCTAGTTGGAGAAGCCCTGGGTAGCTGAACCAGAAGAGTGCCTGCTAGTTAAACCTGCCATGAACTGTAGTCTAGCAGCTCATGAGAGAGGAGCTTTGGGTTGGCGCCAGAAGTAGACGACGTCACAAATAAATCTCATAAAAATCTATAGCACTCTTGAGGATAATTCCCAATTATTTCTTCAAGCAGTGGAGTTGCTGTTGAGAAGTTCTACCAGGGGCAGGGAGTGATGATACTAGGTAGGCTTTTTCCTAAGTCCCTGTCAATTAATTCATTTAATATACCTATTAGTAATTGTTTTTTAAAGTTCAGAGATGCAGCATTTTATTTGTTCACAAAAAAATCCCAGAAGAACTCCTCATTAAGTTTACATTATGGATTCTTAACGGATGTCTTAATTAGGCACTGTTGTTAACAGGAATATTACATTAATTAAAATCAGACCCTCCAGGTCAATGTAAATTATAAAGAAAAAGTTGCATGAAGTGCAGACTGATTAAAGAGGAGGGAAAAGTGGGTGGGGAGGGTGCCTGAGAACCCCGACCCCCTTCTGGCCTGCATACCTCTGATAACTGGGTGAAGCGGGTAAGGCAGAATACTACGGTTTGGAATAGAAATGTACAGTTTCTACAGTTTGCATGGGGGTGCAAATAAATCCAAGCTTGTGCAGCTTCCTTGGTTTTTCTTTTTTGCTGGAAGCATGCTCCTGTCTGTCGGAATTTCATTCTAAGCAAGGCTTGGCATGCTGCAGTGTTAATCTGAAACATTGCTTTTGGGAAAAAGAGGGTGCCTTTTTATTCACCTGCTTGATATATGCTGCAGATGTAAAAATATGGTGCACGTATTTAACCACTTGTATGACTGTGGGTCGATATTTACAGTACCAAAATAGAGAATGTTTCATCCAAAGCTTTTAATGTAGGCATTTGATGTGAAGAAATGTGCTTTAAGTGGTGAAGTGCATTAGAAAGAAGAGAACCCCTCCTGTTCCCTGTGGTGCTCTGTGCTGATGATGAAAGATGCTTGCCAAACCATGAGGCAGCTGGGAGCTGAGGGTGCGCAAAATAATGCAGCTGTTCCAGTGGAAGGGAAAGGGGTGAAGTGCCCCTCACTCCAGCCCCCACCAAGTTGGGGCACCCAGGGTTTGCTAGCGTAGCACAACTCCTGCCTTGGGAAGAGCAGAAGAGACTTCATTAGTGTGTGTGGGGTGGGGGCAGGGATTTCTCTGCTTCTCGCTTCAGTAAGCATGACATTACTGACATTGACTGTTTTGAGTTGCTTTTGATAAAGGTTTGGAACGCACTTACTGCCTCTGTGAAAACCTGGCCTTGGGCAGGAGTGATTTTCTGCTGCTTCGTTTTGTCTCCCCCTCATTGATATGGTTGTGGTCTCTCGCTGGGGAATGAGGGATAAAAGGCTCTCGGGGTGGGGGTCAGAAGAGCCAGCGAGTACTTGTAGGTGGCTACATATTTTGGGGGGCTCCTAACACTTAAGGAATGTCCTGTTCTTTCTCTTTGCGCTCTGTAAATTCGGGATGGCATTTCCTCAGATGCCCCGGGGCTTGCGATTTATTTTACATCACATTGAAGGTGTATTATCATTTGTATTACAATTGTTCCCAGAGGTCCTAGTCAGTCCTGAGGTCTCAGGAGGCCTGCTGTTCAAACACCGATTAAGACAGTCCCTTCCCCAAAGAGCTTCCTGGTTTTTGGATGAAATGGTTGAGACATGATTAAACCACACAAAGCAAAAAATGGAGGCTATTGTTGTGTAGAATAGAAATACAGATAATGCTTGAGGTTCATGATTTTTGTAGGGTTAGGAGTTGTTTGCAAAGCATGTGGGGCTGGCTGGCAGGCCTGAAGGTTCTGCTGGTTGCTGGGAGCCCATTCCCAGGAGCATGGGGCATCAGAGGGGCTTTGTTTCTATACGATTCAGAGAAAATACAGAGCTGATTTTTCCCCTACATAAAATGATTCATAGTTTGTTTAAAATAAACTCTCCTCTCTGGGAAGTAGAAGCAGAAAGCCTTGGCAGAAAAAGGCACAGGAAGACTTGGCTGCAGGGTTCCAGCAGGTCCTTGCAGGGCGAAGGATAGATGGTTGCAGGGGTTTGCTGTGGGATGGGGTCACAGTGGGCCAACAGCAGTGCCATTAATCTCAAAGCATCAGAAATAGGTTTCATGAGTCTGCAGGTGGGTAAAGTCTGATAGTAACTCATTCAGAAGTTGGCTGATAGTGGCAGGACAGCCTTCCGTGACCCTGGGCTGGGGGGGGCTCAGAGCTGCAGCTTGTATGTATTAATTTAAGGATCCGTAGGATAGGGAACAAAAACTTCCCTTCTAAAATGTTGGGATTTGAGGAGATAATAGGCGCGTGCTGGAGGTGAAAATCCCCCCCTCCCCCGTTAGACTGGAGCAAAGCAATTGTAGCTGAAACAAAAGGTCTCCTGTCCCTTCATGGGGACTACCTTTCCTGGGGGTCTGCTGCAAGGCTGTGTTCTCCCCCCCCCCGTAAAGACAAGAAGGAAACCGACAGAGTCCTGGATTTGGCAAGTGAGTTTTGGAAATAGGGCTGGTGGGCAGGGGAAAGCGTTTTCCATGAAGTCCCCACTCTTGGAAACCCAGTTTCCTTCGATCTCTCTTTGACCGATTCCTTCACAAGGAGCTTGGCTCTGTAAACATCCTGCCTATCTGCATCTTAGCACAGTTCTCCACTCCCCCCCCTTTTTTCCTTTTAAAAAACTCACTCTCTTTTGCATGTACTTCACAGGGCTTGTCAGCACTTAAAAGGCTGCAGTGAAGATGCTGCCTACACCGATGGGAGGGCTTCTCCCTTCAGCGTACATACTCCACTTTCCTGAGAGGCAATAGCTGTGTTGATGGGAGAAGTCCTCCCGCTGACGTACCGCTATTTATACCAGTGGTTAGATCGGTATAACGGCATCGCTCAGGAGTGTGGATTGTCCATGCCTCTGAGCAACATAATTGCACCGACATACGTTTCTAGTGTAGAT